TAAACATTGCTTTGGCTATTCTAGGTTTACCCCATATAAATTCCAGAATCAACTTCTCAATTTTACGAAAAGACTATCAGATTTTGATTAAGACTGTATTGAATCCATAGACCAATTTGAGAAATGACCCCTTAACAATTTTGAGTTGTTCTGTCCAAGATCAAGGTATTTATTTCCATCTATATAGGTACTCTTTAATTAATCTCAGTAATGTTCTATAATTTTCAGTGTATAGGCCTTGCACATCTTTTGTTAAATTTATTCCTAAGGTTTTTTTTTCTTTGCACTATTGTAAATGGAATTGATTTTTAAAATTTTATTTTCTAATTTTTGCTAGTATATAAAACTATCACCGCTTTAAAATATTATTAGCATTTTATACTATGACCTTACTATATTCAACTAGTTCTGGGGGTTGTTTTATAGATTCCTAATAATTATGTCATCTGCAAATAGAGAGAGTTTTATGTCTTTGTTTCTGATCTATATGCCTTTTTTCTCCTTACTTTATTGTAATGGCTAGGACATTTAGTATAATATTGAAAAAAAGTACTAAGAGAGACATTGTTGCTTTGCTTTGTTCCTGATTTCATCGAGGAAATATTTCTTTATTAAGAATGATATTAGCTGTAAGGTTTTTATAGATGACCTTTAACAGTTTGAGGAAGTTTTCTTTTATTTTTAGAGTTTCAAAATTCATGAATGAGTGTTAAATTTTGTGAAGTGCTTTTTCTACATCTGCTAAATTGATCATGTGCTTTTTCTCCTTTATTCTCTTAATGTTGTGAATTTCATTGATTTCTGAGTGTTCAATCAACCTGCATTCCTGGGAGAAACCTTATATGATCATGATGTAGTATTCTTTTCATGTAGTGCTAGGTTTGATTTGCTGATATTTTGTGGAAATTTTTTGTATCTTATGTCTGTAAGGGTTACTGGTCTGTTGTTTTTCTTATTTGTAATGTGTTTATCTGGTTTCGGTATATGGTTAATTCTACCCTCATAAAATAGAAAGAGAAACGTTCCCTCCTTGTCTATTTCCTGAAGGTGTTTGTTTGTAGAACCGATATTATCTCTTCCTTAAATGTTTGCTAAATTTGTCAGTGAAGCCAATTCTGTGGGAAGATTTTTATCAACAAATTCATTTTTTAAAATAGATGTAAGTCTCTTCAGATTATCTGTTTAATCCTAAATGAGCTATTAAAGCTGTTTCTTTCAGTGAGTTTGTTCATTTCATTTAAGTTATTGAATTTCATTAGCATAAAGTAGTTAATATTCTTTTATTTTTTTTATGAATACAGTATCTATATTAATGTCCCTTCATTCCTGATACTAGAAATTGTTTTTTCTGTTTTTTTTTATAGCTAAGTCTAGCTATTGGTTTATAATGTTGAAGATCTTTTCAAAATACCAGCTTTTGATTTTGTTAATATCTGTCTTGCTAGTTTTCTATTTTGTTAGTTTCTGCTCTTACCCTTTATTGTTTCTTCCTTTTCCTTTTGTTTTTATCTTCTTTAGGTAAATTTTAGACATTTCTTTTTCAAATAGCATTTAAAATTATTAATTTTATATCACATATGCATATCACAAATTTTGATATGTTGTATTTTTATTATCATTCAGTTCAAAATATTCTCTAATTTCCTTTTAGGGTTCTTCTTTGACCAAAAGGTTACTTAGAAGCATGTTTAATTTCCAAATACTTGGGGTTTTCTTAAATATCTTGTTATTGGTTTTTAATTTAATTCTGTTTTGATAGGATGACATGGTACAATTTCAGTTTTTAAAAGTTTTTTGAGACTTGCTTTCTTGCCCAGAATGTGGTTAAACTTGGTGAATATACCACGTGCACTTGGAAAGAATGTATATTCTGCAGATGTTGGGTAGAGAGTTCTAAAAATATCAATTAGGCTAATGCAGTTGGTAGCTATGTTAGTAATTATCTACCGCAATGTAATGAACTACCCCAAAACTTAGCAGCAGCTAGAGAATATCTTTTAAAAGATAAGATACATTATGAATTGATACTGATACTTTTGATTCAAATTTAAGACTCAGGGTTTTTACTTAAACTTATTCATTTTTACACCTGCATCTTTTCTCCCATGCTGAAAAATTGAATGATGCCAACAAAAAAACTCTTGATTTGTCTCACAAAGCATATACAAAAGTTTGAGAATAAAAATACCAAACACTACTGCCAACAATGATTATCAAAAATCATCTCAGATTTGTTTTTTTGTAATTATTTTTGTCATTAAGTTATATTTACTGGAGGCATAATGGTGAAATTACTGTTTTAAAAGCGACTTGAAATGCCTCCTCTATATGTGGTTATATAACCAGTTCTACATGCAGTTAGGTTCATTTGTGTCATTTTGCTTTATAGTTATAGTATTTACAAATAATTTGATTATGTTTTATAATTATGTAAAATGTTTACATGGTTCCAAAGTCAAATCTATAAAATCAGGAATAGTCAGAGACATTTTATTTCTATTTCTGTCCTTATTTTATCTTTTTGGTTTTGAAATTATAAGCAAGAAAAGAAAGACAACACACACACACACACATGTATTCCTCCTATCATGTCTTAGATGAACAGTAGAATACTATATACAATTTTATCTATTCTACTTCTTTCACTTAACAATATATCCTGGAGATCACTCCATAATAATTTATGGAGCTATCCTTTATTCTTTTAAAGAGTTTCATTGTACTTCATTTTGTTGATGTATCATAGTTTAGACAACTAATCCCCTATGGGTGGATATTTGGGTTATTTCTAAAAATCTCGCTATTACAATGTTGTAATGAATAGCCTTGTGTATATATTCTTTTCATACTGTTGCCTGTGTATCCTTGGGATAGACTGTGAGAAGTGGTATTGCTGGATCAAAAGGAAAATGAATATGTAATTTAGCTATATATTGTCAAATTTTCCTCTATCAAAGTTGTAACATTTTACATTCTCATGAGCAGTCTATTGGCATGCCTATCTCTCCACAGCTTTGCAAATAGAGTGTGTTGTCAAATTTTGGATTTTGACAGTCTTTTAGGTGAAAAATGGTACTTCTACATAGTTGAAATTTGCATTTCTTTTACCATGAATGGTGTAAAACATTTTTCTATATGACTAAGAGACATTTGTACTTCTTTTTCTAAAAAGTAATTGCCCATATGTTTAGTCCAGTTTGCTACAAGGTTGTGTTGACTTTTATTTTTAACCCAGTTTGAGCCAAGACATGCCAGGAAGCTATGCAAGCCACTTTTCCAAGCATTGAGCATACAAAATAAACAACAGAGATAAAAAATCCCTGCTCTCATGGAGCTCACAATCTAGTGAGAGAGTGATGCGTTTGGCCCATGAATTTTGACAGTTGCCTCAAATTCTCTTCCTTAACTTAAGTGTTCCCATTTTGATCCAGAATTCATAATGCTTGAATTCAGTGCACATGCCCCCATTATAATCCTGATCCTATGGACTTAACATTTGATGTGCTTTTCAGATCTTTGTATCTCAGTGTTCCCATAAAAACATGGCTGGGACTTGCTTCACCAACTCTCAATTTTGGTTAATTTGGATAGTGTATTTTTCCTAGTGTGTTTCTTGGCCTTCAACCCTTCATTTATACTCCCTGCAATAAGACTTATTTGTGCAAAAATAATTGAGCAACTGGAGCAGCTTACAAGCTGGTTGGCCTTGGCCAAATTGTTTCATCACCACATTTCTTTATCTGTAAAATGATGATAATAAAACTTGTCAGTATGAAGAGACTGAAATAAATAGCATATGAAAATTTCCCAAACTCTGTTTCTAGTGTTAAGTACTCAAAAATTACATTTTAAAGGGATATTTTATCAAAGAAAATGGCAACTAAAGGGAGCACTGGATTAGAAATTTCTCCAGAAATACACTGTGCATTAAATTTTACCCTAAAATGTTTCTCTTTGCTGGTCAGAAATACTCACTATAGATGCACTAGAAGTGTATTACTTAATTTTGAACATTTTCTAGGAGTCTGTGCCTTCCACAGTTAGAGCCTGCCAATATCCAGCCTCAATTCTAATCACACATCCTTTTTTTTTTTCCTTCCACTTTATGGCATTACTGAACTATTTTTAGTTCTTCGAAAACTCTATGTGGCTTTATGACTTTTTCTAAATGCCATTCTTTTTGTGTGCAATTTTCTTTTTCCTTCCATCTTCTTGGAAAACTCCTCATCTACTAAGATCTAGCTCAAAGATCATCTATTGTTGGGAGTCTTCCTTAATCTCTTACCCTTACTCCTTTACAATTAAACACTGCTTCTTTTTAACTTCTTGACATTATGCATGCTTTTACCATCACACTGAAAACTTTACATTACAGTTGTTTACATAGCTGCTTCTTCACCTGGACCTTAAGCTCTTGGATAGAAGCTGTATTGTTTGTTATGATGTCTCTATGCCTACAATTACTTGGCCATTATTTGCTGCTGAAAATATGTTTATTAGCAATTCTCATTTAAAGCTTGCCTTATAAAATTTGAAGTTAATAGATAGTTGTCTACATGATATGATTTCAACAATACTTAGGAAAGTCCTTTTTTTGTTCCATGCCAGCATGAATCAACACAGCACTTCAAAACTTTTTCTACCTATTCACTGGTGCCCAAAAAGTCTGTAACAGATAGATAGTAAACCCTTTTGTCAACTAAAAGCATAGACTAAATGCATTTAAGCTTGGAAGAAGAAATACTTTGATTTGAACATAAAGACAGGAAGGTGGCAAGGGACGTTGTGGGCTTGAAATAGGCCTATGACAAACAGGCAGGAAGATCAGGTCAAAAGTTCATACTGGAGCAAATTGTTTTGAGACTTTTGCTTGCTTGTCATAATTTGTGTTTTTATTGACAATTACTATCCAAAAATGACCTCAAATATGTGAAAAAATATGTGGGTTTAACTAGGAGTCAGAAATACTAATATATACTTCTCTTTCCATCCCATTTCAGAGTGCATAAATACAGGAGTGGAAGGTCCTGTCATAGTAAGCAACTCAACTCAGCAAATGGGCAATTACAGTTTGGGTAATGTTAATCTTTACATGATTATTTTAATAGCAGAGGGCTTGATGCTTGTATAGTTTTTATGTTTTAGGATTTTGACTCATCTTATATGCATTTATAAATGGTATTGTCTAAAATTATCTAAAGAAAATACTGCTTATGTTTAAGGGGTTAGCAAATTTTTCATTCTGAAATTATTTCTGTGCTTAGTTAGTACCTATTCCAAGAATGTGATCACTAAACAAACTCATTTCCAAAATTTTTTTCATTCAATTTTTGAAACAAAATTTATTACTTCAAGAATTAAAAAAAAAAAAAAACAGGTCTTAGCAGATGCTAGCAATTTATTTTCTGTACATTTCACCTAGCCCTACTGTCTTCCAAACTTTTGTTTCCCATTGTAGTTAACTTTTTCCTTATATTTTCAAATGTCATTTTTATGATATATGTGACACTGAGCGTTTCATGTAAAAATAATTCTAATGATTTCAAAATGCATTCATGGGCTCAATAAATGTCCTTTTTAATTACACTCTATTATTCACTATCTAGAAAAATTACAGAATAAACTATATTTACAGTCAATTACAAAATAAAATAAGTAAAATAACTATGTAAATCATAAATCTCAGGGGTGGGGATATTGCATAAGTGTAGTTGGTTGAATGGTAGCCTCCTTCCCACAACCCCTGCAAAGATGTGTCCACCTAGAACATGTGAATGTCACTGTATTTGGAAAATGAATCTTTGAAGATGTAGTCAAGTGAAGGCTCTTGAGATGTGATCATCCTGAATCAGAGTGGGCCCTAAATCAAATGTCAATTGTCCTTAGAAGAGAAGAGAAGACACAGGGGAGAAGGTCACATGAACATGGAGTCTGAGATTGAAATGATACATCTACAAGTCAAAGAACACCAAGTGTTGATGGCAGTGACCAAAAACTGGAAGAAGCAAGGCAGGATTCTTCCCTAGAGCCTTTGGAAGGAACCTGGCCCTGCTGACACCTTGAATTCAGACTTCTGGCTTCCAGAAATACGAGATAATATAATTCTGTTGTTTTAAGTGACCAACTTTGTGTTTATATATATTAAGGAAGCCCTAGGAAATGAATATAATGAGTAATTAAGTTACTTTTCTACTGTACGTGTTTTAAAAAACACAATTCATGGGCCGGCCGAGTGGCGCGATGGTTAGGAACTGGCTTGGGATGCCAGAGGGCCCCGGTTCGGATCTCACATATGAGGGCCAGTGACACTGCCCTCCACAGCTAAGATGCTGAACAACAGCTCAACTTGGAGCTGGGCTGCAGTGAGTTGCTGGCGACAGTGTAGGTTGCAGCCCCTGTGGCAGTGGGTTGGCATGGGCTACCATGTGTAGCCAGCAGCCAGCGTGAGCAGCCAGCAGCCGCAGTGAGCGGCTGTTCAGAAGCCGGCGACTGATCTGCCTCGCTTGGGAAGAGCGCAATAATGGTGCCAACTTGGGCCAGTGAAGCAACGTCCTCCACAACTAGACTGAAGAACAAAAGAACAGCAACTTGTCTGTTCCCCTTCCCCCAATTCCCCACCGCTGTTCCCATCCCCCTAATTCCCCAATAAAAAACAAAACAAAACAAAACAAACCCACAATTCATATTTGTTTCAACCTGTATATATGTCCATTGTGAAAGAATTAAATTAGACTTCTGATATTAACAGTGTAAAGCTATAATCTTTCTACATTTAAAAGAAAATTTGGTTTCAGGTGAAGAAATTAAAGAAAGACCACAGGACCATTGATCAGAAGCTCTAAATGTTTGTTGTACTACTTTTGTGTATACAAAGCTTCAAGCAAGACTGAGTAAAAAGAATGATTTCTATTTTCAATGAAGACGTGATATTTGATATGAAATTGGCATTTTATAGCAACTAGTTGCTGACTGAGATAATAAAACTAAAGGACTTGTATTTTAGCAATTAATGAAGTTTAAAAAAAATGTATCCAATATTATAAAAATAATCAGAGGAATATTTGTGAAAATAAGCCTATATTTTTCTCTTCTAAAAACAATCATTTTTGTACACTGGAGTACATTCCACCTTGTGAGCTTTATCTCTGGTATAAGAAGTTGTAGAGATAATTTACTGAGAATTCGAGAGGCAGATTTCTCCATGTGTCTCTCTCCACTGGAAAACCTTTATTAAGCAGAAGGTCTCGTCCACATTTCAGTCCACTGGGAAATCATTGAAACTCAAAATGCTTGAAGATTTCATTCAACTCATTTATGAAGATGCCATTTAATGGAAGACCAGGCTCTTCTAACAGAATCCTGTAGTATCTAGACACTTAGTTATATCTGATAAGAACTAATGTGGCCAAATTGCCAATATTCACAGATAAGTGTGCTAAAATGAGAATCCACTGAAATAGCAACAACTTAATTAATAGTTTAGAACATGAAAATTATTTGCTTTGTCACTAAAAGTAATAATATCTGTAGGGCATATGATGTAAAATCCAAAGGATTGAAGAAAAGCCTTTAAATATCCCTTTAAAGGCACCAATCAAGGCTGAGTTCTTCCACTGACAACAGCTTATACCTTTAAAATAGGCAGCAGGTTTTTGGGCCGCTGAGGCCAAAATGCCCACAAGAGGAAGCCCTCAGCTATTATATCAAAGTAACCTTTGTCTATCATGCTGTCATCTCTTGATCACCTGATAGCTGTGTTAGCTGGGAATGGGGAACGGTGTGGTTTTCTATTTCACCCAAATCCTATTGGGTGCCCTCAGTACTTGCCACACTTCACTTAAGGTAAGGAAAGGAAAGAAGGCAGGAAGGGAGGGATGGAGGGAGGAAGGAAAGAAGGAAGGGAGTTGCTATTTATGGTAAGAACAGAATAGGAATTTTATTTAATTTGAGGGAGAACTTGGAGCTAATAGAGATTTAGTGTATTTTTTAAAAGCAAAGTAAGGAGAAGAAAACTGAATACTCAGTGGATGTTTATTCCTTTCAATTGTGGTAAGTGCAAGAAATTAGAACAAACAAAACTTTAAATCAAATTCAGCAAACTATGGCCCATGGGCAAAATCCAGCCAGCCATAAATGAAATTTTATTGGAACAAGGCCACACCCATTTGTTTAAGTATTATGTATGGCTGCTTTCTTGATGCAAAGGCAGAGGTGAATACTTGCAACACAGACCAAATGTTTACTTTTTGGCCATTCATGGAAAATGTTTGCAGATCTGGATTTTTCCCTTCTAATAGTCTTACCCCACCTTACTTACACCCCTTCTTCCTAAAAAAAAATTTAAAATTTTCCTCTTGATGTTTCCAAATGGAAACTCCAATATCATCATAAAGTATCCATATCTTAAATTTTCTTCTATTACAAATACTCAGTCTTGGTGGTGAATTTGACAATGGAAGAAACTGATAGAACCCAGAACCCATGGAAGCTGGGTGTGTTAGGATGGGAGAGACCTGGAAAGACTAAGCAATATTGCACACTATGATTTTTAGAGCTTTGTAATCTAGACCAGTGATTCTCAACCTGTGGGTTGCGACCCCTTTGGGGGTCGAATGACCCTTTCACAGGGGTCGCCTAAGACCATCGGAAAACAAAAAGATAGTCACATTACGATTCATAACAGTAGCAAAATTACAGTTATAGAGTAGCAACGAAAATAATTTTATGGTTGGGGGTCACCACAACATGAAGAACTGTATTAAGGGATCGCAGCATTAGGAAGGTTGAGAACCGCTGATCTAGACTATCTAAGTCATAGCTTGGCCTACTTAAGCCCTCTGAGGTCAGCTCTGACTTCTTACCTGTTTCTGGAATAGATTCTTGAGCCCAATATGAGCTGAATGTGATAGACAGAATCTCATTCTTTGCCTCCCTTCCGGCCCAAGTCAATAACACTTAGCTACCTAGAAAAAAAACAAATTATTTCAGAGGCCTGTTTGCTGCTCATTTCTAAGGTCTTTGCTGAATTTCTTTGTTTATTTTTTAATGTGGTAGCACTGGGTGGAAAATTAGAATGGGAAGTAAGAAATATATTTTTATAAACAGAGGGCTCATAAAAATCATTGAATGGTGGTCTTTTAAACCCAGAGGAAGAACTTTTATAGGTCCTTAAATCATAAGGTATAGTTTTAAATCATTTTTGTTTTTATAGAACAATACTATAAAACAGAACTTTTTCAGAAACCAAGTAGATCAGTACTATGTTGTCAGAAATTCTGTAGAACCCAAGGAAGGAATGCATGTTGTCATCTCTCTCTCTCTCTCTCTCTCTCTCTCTCTCTCTCTCTCTCTCTGCTTCTGCTTCATTCTTCCCAAGGTATTAATCAGGTTTGCTCAGAAAAACAGAACAACAGAGTGTGGGGGGGGGGGGGAAAGGGGGGAAGAGAGAGAGATATTTACTTTAAGGAATTGGCTTATATGATTATGGAAGCTTGGAAGTCCAAAATCTGTAGGGTGGGTCAGCAGCCTGGAGACCCAGAAAAGACTAGCAGTTCATCTCAAGGCAGTCTGCTAGCAGAATTCCCTTTCCCAGTGGAGTCAGTCTTTTTTCTTTTTTGCTATTAAGACCTTTGACTAATTAGATGAGGCCCACTTGCACTATGGAGAGTAATTTGCTTCACCCAGAATCTACTGATTTAAATGTTAATCTCATTTAAAAATATATTCACGGAAACTTCTAGAATAATGTTTGACTCAATATCTGGGAACTGTGGCCTAGCCAAGTTGACACATAAAATTAACCATCATAGTAGGAAAAACAGGGAAAGAAGAGGGACGAACTATTTTTCTCAGTTCTGGTTCCAAAATTTTCGAGAAAGTACTCTGGATGAGGTACCCACCACTGGACCAGAAAACTTTAATCAGGGGTTGGCATCTGGAGAAAGGACTATACTCAGCCAGTTCATGTGAAGTGCCCATGATGGACCAATACATCATGGCTAGGGAAGGGGTGGAGGCAGGGTTACCTGTGCAAACTAGTTGTCAAGTTCAAAACAAGGTATCTCATAAATGGTAAATCATTGATTAATAACTTATGACTGTAATTTTCAAATGTTAACATATTTTTCCACTTAATGATGGAATAACTCTAATTTATGTTTTGCAAGGCTTTTGATGTTAGTTAGGGGTAACTGATTTTCTATCATGTTGAACAGAAGTTTTTGTGAGAAATAGCAGCTTCTACTCCACTTAAGTACCTAAAATTGATTTCATTTACTTTTCTCTGAATATTTCTCTAGCTTCATGTATGGATGACAAGCAAAATGATTCAAAACTTCTTCCAGAAGGTAATACGCCTTTCTTTTTTATTAGAGGCCAGTGCTGAAGGGATGGAATGTTAAACTTCCTTAGAAACATAGCTGATGGTGTGGTCTCAGGGCCAGCCTCTGCCCAATTGAAGAATATGGTGACCTGAATGCAGTGGGGTGAGGGACCCTGAATGACCCTGCTTCACCTCCCCCAGAGCTGTTGAATTCTGTTTGAAGATAATGGAGCTTTGTCTTTCAGGTGTAGTGCTAGGCTCGATGGGAAACGTGCAGTCTCATAAGGCTACCAAAGAGCCCTCAGGTAGCTCTGTTAGCGGGGCACACAGACATAACCCCAGCTATTATATAAAGCAGAGGAGACAGTGCTCACATCAAGTGTACCAGGAGTATAAAGGAGGGAGCTGTTAGCACCAGGGCTCAGAGAAGGCTTCATATAGGATGCAGCATATGAACTGGGTCTTACTATAATGGACAAAGAGCATTGTGGAGGGCACCCCAGAGGTGGGAACAATGTGAGGAAAGACACAGAAATGCAGTTGTGCTTGGTGTTGTCTTTTTGAAGTGTGTGTGTGTGTGTGTGTGTGTGTGTGTGTGTGTGTGTGTGTGTGCAATGTAGGGGGTGGTAAGATTGTAAAGGTGAGTCAATTTGAAAAAGAGGGCTCTCCAAGCCAACACAAAGACATTTAAATGTTTTCTTCAGGTAGTGCGAGATCTCTGAAGGGTATTAGATTTGAGTGAATCACACCTGTGTTATAGAATGATGTACCTGGTTGCAATGTAAGGTATGAACTGAAGACAAGAGAGTTTTGAGACTGAGACAGAAGTCAGGAGGCCTTTGTAATAATCTAGGTACATAAGTTAGTGAGAAAAGAAAGGAAATGTCCAAAAGCCAGTTGGAATTTGTCTGTGTGCCTATGGCTGGATGAAACTGACAGGTGTTTATAGACAAAGGATTCAGAAAGGATGGGCTATGACTGCTAGTTCTGAAATAAATATGACAATCTACCCGCTAGCCCCCTCAGTGAAGTAGGAGGTGAAACCACCCTAGCTGAACAGGAGTGTACAAATAATATATGTGTTAGACGGATGCCAAACCCATTTAATGTGGGGTAGTGAATGGCCATTGTAAATTATCCCCATAGGTATAAAAAAAGTTAAAGGAAGGTGAGGAAAGGATGAAATAATGGCGATATCATAAGAACTATCACTAAAAGAGAAGGGTGATTGGCTGAATGTCATAAAATGGAGGAAAGTGAAAGAACAGAATATCCACCAGGCTTGAAATCTTCACCATTGGAGTTACTTCTTTGGATACTGTGGCCCTGTGAAAATGCATATGTTTATTTGATTCACTAGTACTTCCTTTAAAAAAATGTTGAGCCGGATCTTGAAGATAAATACCAGGCAAAGACATTAATGCCTCACGGTATTTACACGCTGAAGTTAGACTCCTGAGCATACAAAAGAGCCTTCACAACTCGCTTCCTCACCAGCCTTTTTTATTTCTAGTTTTATCTTCACACCTTTCCCTTGTGCACATATATGCTTACCCACATCCAACTCTAGCTCTCCGACAAGTCATGATCTTGCTTGCCTCTGAGCCTTTGCAAAGTTGGAGGTTCACTCTTTAAAAGGATGCCACTTGGAGTGGTGGGGAGAGCAAGGATTTAACTGCCTCTCAGATCTGCTTTAAAATCATCTTCCTTCATCTTGTTAAGTGATTTTTATTTAGCTGTAAAATTCAAAGGCTTGAGTACATCACAGAAGAGGCAGTTGACACCTAAAGAGGAGAGATGTCAAATGCAGAGTTTAGCACAAACAAGCTTCATTCACATAAAATTTTTGCCCCGCTATAGCTGGTTCTGCTCATGTTAAAGTGAAGAGATCACTAACACTCGGTTACAAGTGAGTTGTAACAGATACACCTAATCGCCTCTCAGCAAACCTCTACCAGTCATGGGCATATCATGTCAGTTTATGGAAAAGCGTGAGCTTTCATGCTGGAAAATACTTGTAGGTTGCAGGACTTAATTTTTACTTTAAAAGATGGGCAAAAGAAGTCAACTTCTATATTTAATCCTCATAATTAGATTGAATGTATGGAAACAAAATCCATGAGAAAAGTTCACAGTTGAATTCTTTGGGAGTGTGTGTGACCGAACAGGAAGGAAGGAAGGAAGGAAGGAAAGAAGGAAGGAAGGAAGGAAGGAAGGAAAGAAGGAAGGTAGGAAGGAAAGAAGGAAAAGAAGAAAGGAAAGGAAAGGAAGGATGGAGGAGGAAGGGAGAGAGGAAGAAGGGAGGGAAGACCTATTGATTTTGCTGATTTTCTGATTCTCTAAATAAAAACATAAACTTAAAAAATTTCTGACTTACTCAACCTGAATGCCATATTATTTTTAACACCATATATACTTTCCATATTTATGTTTGTCTAAAGTGCCAGCCTTAGGGATAGGCATTTAGCTCTGATATTACTGATTTATTTTCTCTCATAAAAACTTAGGAGGACACAGCCACATCACTAACTATTCTATTTTCTATCCTGAGGAGTATGAGTTATAAAATAAATCTAATAGTCTCTGACCAAAACATTCATTGTCTTTGTCTTTTAATTGAGAATTGTGTTTTCTTATTTGTTTAATAAATACCAAGATTCCTGAATTAATTTCAAAATACTTAAAAATTTTCTCATACATATAATACATGTTGTTTACCTAATAATACATAATATAGTAGAAAATGGATTAATCTTTGGGTTCAGTTTAATATGTTGTGTACATTTTTTAAATGTTTAATTTGTTAATGTAAATCTAACATTTTTGGAATAAAACCATCAGTAAAGTAATGTTCTAGTACAACTTATGTAATATGTTGTAGAAAATTTAACACATGGAGTTATTTTGCAAGTTTTTTTTAATCATTGTCTCTGTGTGTGTGTGTGTATGTGTGTGTGCACGCGTGCGTGCGTGTGTGTGTGTGTTGTGTGTGTCCAGTTAACATTTCCCTGCATGTACTGGTGGGTACAAAGGCTGTGCTCTCTTGCCCTGAAATCCTGCTGGACAACGTTTTGGTAACAACATGGGAAATAATCCTCAGACACAAGCCTCTCTCCATCAAAGCCTACAGGAGTGACCTAAATGAGACCACGGAAGTAAACAGTACCGACAAGAGAATAACCTGGGCCTTCAGACCTGACCAGAATCCTGCCCTTCTAATTTATCCAGTGGCCCTCACTCATGATGGGTATTACAGGTGTCAAATGGCAACACCCAATGGTAATTTCCATCGTGGATATAACCTCCAAGTGTTAGGTAAGGAACATCATATATTGTGGTATTTCAGATAGCCACATGTGGGACTGAAAGAAATGTCTCTCTAAATTCCATACCCCATGTGTGGAGACTGAAGAGTTTCCCCCTACACCTCTGCAGTGGCCCCTGAGGTGACTCTGTTTCGAAGAGAGAATGGAACGACGGAGTGCAAGGCAGTTGCAGGAAAGCCAGCTGCTGAGATCTTCTGGATCCCAGAGGGCAACTGTGTTCCTCATAAAAAAAACTGGGACAACGACACAGAGACTGTGTGGAGTACATGCTACTGGGAAGATAGCAATGTCTCTACTGTGTTCTGCTTTGTCTCCCATCAGACTGGCAACAAGAGTCTGTCCGTAGAGCTGAGTGAAGGTTAGTAATTCTTCTAGTTTTGGGTTGGGTTTTTCCATTCTTTCAGAGGAGTTATGGTAGGAAGGAACAAGGATTGTGCAGAAGATTTCATTCAAGGTTGTTCTCCCCATCCTCTGTTTTATCCTCTACACCAAATAAAAGGTGTATCTAGAAAAATCATACAGAAATTTGTTGAAAGAAGCTATATTTTAGAATGAGGTTTATTCTTTAATAATTAAAATAAAAAAGAATTTAATGTTCTGTTCTACCTAGTAGTAAATTGGCTTGAGTAGTGTACTTTTGAATTAACTTATAGTTTTAGTAGAAGGACAAAGTGTAATTTTAACCCAAAACTTATACTTTTATTAGAAATAGGAAATTACCTGTAACTTTTCTTCACAAAGTTTCAGTCTGGTACAATTATATTTTCTAGGTTACTTCTGGATTTTTAAAAATATATTAAAGTAACATCTATGATTAGTTCATCAATGTTCAGTTTCTTCACTCTCTTCCCATCTCCCCTTTCTTGTTATTAAAAAATTAAATATTATTTTAATCATCATATACATAAAGTTGGATTATTCTATAAGGCTTATAATGAAGAAAAAGATCAGCCTTTCCCCTGTCTTTGCACCTCTACCTCTCCATCCTCACTGAACTCCCTAGAAGCAAGTACATTCAAATCTCTAGGTGTTTTTTTTTTTTTTACTGGTAATTGACTTCATTTTTATAAATAATGTGCTCATACTGATATTTCTTAACATGTCAAATTTAGACATTATGTGCTCACTTTCTCTTATGATAAATGAGGATTTAACTTTAACTTCCTCCTTTCCCACATCTTTTATTATAATAATTTATAGGAATTTCAGTTAAATTAAATACCCATAGTTTACATTATTTTGAACATGTAATTTTGGAAAGTACTACATCAAGAAATAAACTCATACTTTCTTTTATGAATAACTTTTTGTTTTAATGATTGCTTTACAGTTTTGTTTGTTTAATAATATATATACCTATTATCAATTGTCACTAAGTTCACTGACAAAATTAGAAAACCCCTATTAGTGTTATTTTCCACATGGTCAGATTTATTAGGTAATCTATCAGTCCCATTTTTTATCTTGAAGACATCCTTTCTTGAGTTTTAACATGTTCTTATTATAATCTGGCCTGATTGGTCACTAGTCTTGGATGTCTTCTTTTCCTTGATCCTCTGCTTAATTCCATATCTATTTAATCTGTGTTCTTTCTGACTTCAAGACATTTGCTAGTTTTGATCTCTTTCTTTCACATATGAGGCTTTTCTTAACTCTTTGGTAATCCTTCACTATCCATTCATTTCAAAGTGAGCATTCAAAAGTGAGCTGACTAAAAGCTATGTTATTTGCGAGTGGGCTTGTCAAATAGTTAATTTCAGTAGAGTTAAAAGGTGGTAAATGAATTTAAAAATAATTGGGAAGAGAGGCAGAAGGAGATAGAAAAGGGTAAAGGAGGTCAAATATACATGTGGTGACAGAAGGAAACTTGACTTTGGGTGGTGCGCACACAATGCAATATACAGATGATGTATTATAGATTTGTACATTTGAAACTTATGTCATCTTATTAATGTCACCCTAATAAATTTAATAAAATTAAAAACATCTCAATACAAACTCTCAAAGAAGCCTCCAACTTTTAGCTCACACTTCACCCCCTACATACTCTTTTCTCTATATTTAGTCCTTCCTACTCTAGAGTGCTCCTGGAGTTCTGTGGGCCCTACCCTTTTTTATTTATTTTACTCCAAATTATTTGCCATTCTTCTGTTCTTTTTTCACCTGAAAACAAGTTAAAATTTTTCGTCTGTTCTTGTCTTTACAAGTTTATACTTAAAAATTTTTTTTTACTGATAACTTAGTAAGTTTTAAGAAGGGAGAGGAGACAAACCTATGTGTTTTAACTGCCATTTTTCAACATCCATTCTTAACATGACATTTTTGTTTTTAAAGAGTTTAGCAGTATTTACCCGGAAGAGTAATTGAGCCCTGGTTAGGTATGAAATCCGACCACCTGGTAATACAACATCATGTCATATTTATAGAGTCTCAGAATTGCAGGGACTAGCTTGTCTGCTCCCACCCACTGCAGGGATCGTCCCTGCAGGGTCCTCAGCCTCCGCTGGTACACTGCCAATGAAAGAGAGTGCATGGGTTTGAAAGAGAGGGTTTCAGAACAATGTTGTTATTTTAAACTGTAAAACCAAGTGTTGTTTTTTTTTTTAATGAAATACGGAGAAATCCAATGTTTCAAGGCAAACGATTGAAGGAAGGTGGTGGGACTGGGCTCCTGCCTGCTCAGCCTCCACTTCGCCTCCCGCTGCCCCAGCCACATTAAAGGAACACCAGGAGCATGGTCTTAAAACCACCGGTCAGGTAGTTAGTTCCTTTGTTGCCTTGTCCTTTTGTCAGACTGAGCTCTGTATTGCTGAGAACAGTTAATAAATAATTTACAGTTGCTGCCATGCATTCATTTTAGTTTCGATGCCCTAGTAGAAAGGTGGCTTCAGAATTAGGGTTACTTTTCCGACTACCTCCCTTACAATTTCCTATTTATTTCTGAATAATGGGGATGAGAAACATTGCTACTATTATAACAGAGATATCAAAGTTTCACATCTCTCCTACAGGAATTCACCATTCATGAATTTTTAAGGCAACAAAATCCTGACATAAGATGATGTCATGCTGGAAACCCTGGAGTCTTAATTGATAAAGCAATTTTATTATAACACTTATTTGAATGATTGATGGGTCGGAAATGTTTAAAATAAAATCACAGAAAGGAATTTCACATACTGTTCAACTTCCTTGAACTATATATGTATATGTATTTTGTTTTGTTTTTTGTTTTTGTCTGTTTTTGCTTTTTAACTAGACTTTATTTTTTAGAGCAGTTTTGGTCCACAGCAAAACTGAGTAGAAAGCACTATGAGTTCCTATAACACCCTCTGCCCCAACACATGCACAACCCACCCTCTGTCTACATCACCCAATCTACAATGGAACATTTGTTATAATAGATTAATATACATTAACACAGCATTATCACCTGAAGTCCATAGTTTATATTACAGTTTACTCTAGGTGTATAGTCTAAGAGTTTTAACAAATGTATTAATGACATGTATTCACCAGTAGAGTATCATACAGAGTAGTTTCACTGCCCTAAAAATCCTCTGTGTTCCACCTATGTATTTTCTCTTCACCCTGACCTCTAGCAACTCCTCATCTTTTTACTGTCTCCATAGTTTTGCCTTTTCCAAATATACTTGGAATCATACAATATGTAGCCTTTCCAGATTGGCTTCTTGCACTTAGTAACATGCATTTGAGGTTCCTCCATGTCTTTTCATGGCTTGATAGTTCATTTCTTTTTAGTGCTGAATAATATTAAACCATGTATTTTTGTGTCTACACATGCAGGTGCCTCCAAACCACAAAACATAAGAATGCTATGTATCATTCTCTCTGTTTTTATTATCTTGGTCATCATGGGATCCATTTGGCTTTTGAAAATCAGTGGCTGCAGGTACTGACTGATATTTTTTGCTTCTTCAGCTTTATTAGGCTAGAAGGGGGCCAGGAATAGGGATCTGAATGGGTAAAATTAAGGTATTAACATAATTTCTCTCATATCCTGAAGGTGTTAGACTTGTACTACACTGAAGATGAGAGGGATTTTGTTAGTTTACCTAGGCATGCAAGCATAGTGAATTAGGCCATTTAGGGCAGAATTTTGGGAGAGACAGCACATGCTAATTTACTATTTGGGAAAATAATTAACATAATTCATTTCATGTACTAAAGAGGAGGTGTCACATATATTCTATTACGTCAAGCTCCTGTTGCATTATTTCATTTTATTTTCCCAAATCCAGAATTATCTTGTTTGGGTGTTATTAACAACAAATAGCATTCTTCACTCATTTCTAGTAGTTCATTTCTGAACTTCTATCAAAATGAATGATAATTGTCAATAGTTTAGGTTCTGTTTTTCAATTTTCAATCTAAATAATGACGTTTCCTGCATTCACTCTAGCTTATTTATATTTTTACAGAAAATGTAAATTGAAAAAAACAGAAGGTACTCCAGCTGAAGAGGTAAGATAAGATTTCAAAGAATATTTGCAAACTTTTAAGCCATGTAGTCTGAATATCTAGCCACATAATTTGTAATATGCTTCAATATTAGTGTTTTAGTTGAAAAGTAAAATTCTGATTTTAAATGCTAATAATTAAGGGTACTTATTTTGTTATTTGTCTACCAAGTAGTATTTATACACCACCCCAAATCCATATTTTCATTTCATGAACTGCATCTTACAGAATACATAATGTTTACCTCATTTGAGCTATAATCTTTGGTGAAACAGAATTGGTGTTTCCTCCCTTATGAAACCATCTCTATTTTTTGACTTCCCTTTTTTAATACCATCATCATTTCCCTCTTACCCAAGTTTAAAACCTATCCTACTCCTTAATCTCTTATAACCAGTAGCTTACTAAGACTTTGATCTTCCCTGAAATACTTCTCATATCACTTCATTCTTCTCCCTTCCTACTTTCAGCCAACTTTTATCATCTGACATTGAGACTTAAGTAATCAATAAATATTTTTTGATAAAATTTTAGAAAAATATCTTGCTCCTTATTCATGTAAGCCCAGAGACACAAATATAAATGCTATAAATAGGTACTGAAGCTGTGGGCACCCGTTAGAAAAACATAGGTAGTTTCTGTAATGGTTTTTGGATTTTTTAAATTGATTTTGACTTTGAGATCTTTCTTAGGATGAAATGCAGCCCTATGCCAGCTACACGGAGAAGAAAAACCCACTCTATGATACTACAAACAGGGTGAAGACATCTCATGTGTTACAAAGTGAAGTTGATGGGACAGGTCTCCATGCTTTTTATGTTACTGGACTCTAGCACTGGGAGAAATGAATCAAAAGACAGTACAGTTGCTGTTTTGATTTTCTTAGAGTTCTAGAAAAGACCTATTTTGAAATTATTTTCAAAGATTCTTAGAAGACAGACGCATTCTAAAGGATTTGCATTCATATTCTTACACAATTGAAATTTTAGAACATTAGCTGCTACCAGCTAGTTCTCTGAAGAACTGATATAATTACAAAGAAAGCACATGCTCATGACAAAATATTCAAGTTGTTCAGTACAGTAGATAATAAAAAATGAGTTTCCTCAAGAAATAACTGCAGAAGGAACAATTATCAAACTTTTTATGTATTCTTTCAGAAAATTTCTATGTGCATATGACAGATCTATGTATGCCTACAGTATATGTGTACATTTATATGTCTAATTACATATAAATACACAAATGGGAACATGCTATAATACTGTTCTGTGCTTACAGAAAGCTAATAATACAATATGTCTTAAAGGTCTTTTATCTTTTATCAACACAGAGCTACCTCATTCTTTTTATTGGCTACATAAAATTTCATTGTATGGTTGTGTCGTAATTTAAGTAACCACAACTCTAGTGATGGACAGTTAGATTGTTTTAAGTTTTGTTTATTTGCTTGTTTTGCTATTACAAACAATACCATATAGAATGTTTGTTGTGGATATGTCTCTGTATTTGTTTAAGTATATTTATGGAGAAATTTCCTTGTATGGAAGTGCCAGGTCAAAGGGTTTGTGCATTTTTGGTATTGATTGTTATGTCAAATTGTATCAATTTACATTCCTTGCAACTGTGTTTAAATGTGCCTTTCCCTATACTGTTATTTTAATATCTGTAAGATTCCCACTTCTTATTTTTAATCAACTTTTTAACTAATATGATATAAAATTATAATAAGAATTATACTATTTAATAAACCAAATTTTTATCTTTAAAATAGCTTTTAGTCTATTTGGATGTAAAACTAATACAGTGACATTTGGCACAGGATATTTGACCAAATTATTTTGATACCATTTTGAGTTGGCCAAAAAACCAATCCATTTAGTTACCCATATAAATATTACCAAGTGGTGTGTGCAATAGACATCATAACCCAGTTCTTGACCTTTTCTTAATTTTTCAACCATCCCTAGTTGAGATGAGGCTCACAGTAAGCTAGTTAGCTAGTTTCAAGAATATCTGTTTAAATATTACTGAAAAACAAAACAAAACTGTATTTACATCTAACTTGATAATGTCAAAATAGCCATGTCAAATGACACCATAGAAAATACTTTAAGATGGTTTTTTAAATGCTAAATTATATTGTACAGGAAAAAAATGTATTAAAAGCTTCTACTACAGGGATGCTAAATGTGGTTAAACATCAGAATCATGTAAGGAAATAAAAAATTACAGTAGTCCTCTTTATCCATGAGGGATATGTTCCAAGACCTCCAGTGGATGACTGAAGCTGCGGCTAGTAGTGAACCCCATATATGCTGTGTTTCTTTCCTATACATATACAGTAAAATCTTGGATTGCGAGTAACGTGGTTTGTGAGTGTTCCACAAGACAAGCAAACATTTCTAACACATTTTAACGTGGTAAACAATCGATGTCTTGCAATATGAGTAGTTTGTTTCCAGAACGAATTATGCTTGCAAACCAAGGTATTTGTATTCCTTTTTACTTAAAGGAAGTACTTTACCACTTCTCTTTGGCATATCTGAATTGCAAGCATCACTACTCTTGTGCTTTGGGGCCATTATTAAGTAAAATAAGGGTTAATTGAACACAAGCACTGTGATACCATGACAGCTGATCTGAAAACTGAGATGGCTAAGTGACTAGCAGGGGGGTAGGCTATACAGTGTGGATATCTGGGAAAAGGGATGATTCACATCCCAGGAGGGATGGAGCAGGACAGTGTGAGATTTCATCACATTACTCAGAATGGTGCATGATTTAAAACTTATGAATTGTTTATTGCAGGAATTTTCCATTTAATATTTTCAGATCTCAATTTACCGCAGGTAACTGAAACTGGGGAAAGTAAACCTTGGATAAGGGGGCTACTGTATATAGATTACCCAAATCCTCTTTAGATCTGTTGAATCAGAAAATCTAGAGATTGGACCAGGTATATAGTTAGGTCCTCCAGGAAGCAGAGGCTAAATGGAGTGATAAATGTTAGAAGTGATAAGGTTAATTGGGGGAGATAGGTTATATATCTGTGAGAGATTAAAGAGGCAGAAACTAAGATATGGGAGGGAAAGCCTTTAGATTATGATGCTTATCTGAATAGAACCTGTGAAAACAAAGAGGAAAGGAAGCAGAATAGAAGAGGGAGAGCCTAAGATCTCTATATAGAACTGTCAAAGTCTAGGCCAAGCCAATGAGAAGACCTGGAGCAAAGATTTCTTCGAAGAGTCTTTCATGAGCAGAAATGGAAAAACTCTGTCTCTTCATGTGTACTCATTGGCTGGGAAGAGTATGGCCTCCGTTCAAAAGGTGTAATGGATCCTGAAGGTGTTAACAACTTGAGACCATCAACTAATTGCACTCATTGCAGCAGAATGGTAAATTGTTTTTTGATAGGAAATCTGAACAGCTCACGAACTAGGCTGCCCAGTCTATCATTTCATTGGTTAGTGTTTGCTTGTTATGTCATCTGTCTCTTATTTTCAACTTTTCTGCGACATTTTGTTTTAAGCATACCTATTAAAAAGAAACTATAACTTTTTTTTTTTAAAGATTTTTTATTGGGGAATTGGGGGATGGGAACAGCGCTGGGGAATTGGGGAAGGGGAACAGACAAGTTGCTGTCCTTTTGTTCTTCAGTCTAGTTGTGGANGGAACAGACAAGTTGCTGTCCTTTTGTTCTTCAGTCTAGTTGTGGAGGACGTTGCTTCACTGGCCCAAGTTGGCACCATCATTGCGCTCTTCCCAATCGAGGCAGATCAGTCGCCAGCTTCTGGACGGCCGCTCACGCTGGCTGCTGGCTACATATGGTAGCCCATGGCAACCCACTGCAGCAGGTACTACAGCCTATGCCATCGCCAGCGACTCACGGCAGCCCAGCTCCAGGTTGAGCTGTTGTTCAGCATCTTAGCTGTAGAGGGCAGTATCACTGGTCCTCATATGTGGGATCTGAACCGGGGTCCTCTGGCATCCCAAGCCAGCTCTTAACCAACACGCCACTCGGCTGGTCCAGAAACTATAACTTTTATATGAAGAAGATATAGTTGATTTTTATTAGCTTTTTGAGAATTTTAAGTTTTGTTTTAAAAATAAATTTTTTTTTATGAGGGAACAGTGTGTTTTTCCAGGATGCATCAGCTCCAAGTCAAGTAATTGTTTCAATTTAGTTGTGGAGGGCACACTCAGTGACTCATGTGGGGATCGAACTGGCAACCTTGGTGTTATGAGCACTGCACTCCAACCAATTGAGCTAACTGGCTGCCTCTTAACTTTTTTTTTTTTTTGATATGTGGTATAAAACTGAGAATTTTACCTTTTAATAAACAATTAAACCATAAACATTTGTTGTGATTACTTACATATCTGGTCATATTTATATGATCTTATTTTATATGTGTCATTTACTATATTTTCTACCCCTGCCCTGTTTTATTTTGTCTTTTACTCTGCTTTGCTGGAATGGTTACTTTTTTTAATTTTCTTTCACCTCTAGCAGTTTAAAAGATATCCATTGTAATATACATCTATTAGTGGTTATGCTTTATTGATGAATACCTAAAAACAGCTTTGTTGTGGCATAATTGATATACTTAAGGCATATAATTTGTCACATTTTGCATATATTTGAAGTGTACAATTCGTTAAGTTTTGACATATTTTTATAACTGTGAACCATCAGCACAGTGAAGATAATGAAGTTACCCATCACCCTCAAAAGTTTTCTTATGCTTCTTTGTAATCCTATCTCTAGAACCTTACTTCCCTCCCTCCTGAGGCAACCACTGCTCTGCTTTTTTAAACTATATACTAGTTTACATTTTCCAGATTTTTATCTAAATGTGATCATGTAATATGTACTCTTTTCTTTTTTTGGTCTGGCTTTTTTTATTCAACATAATTATTTTGAGATACATTCACACATTAATAGCTCATTATTTTTATTTTTATTGCTAAATAGTATTTAATTATATGGATATACCACAGTTTATTTATCCATTCATCTGTTGATAGACATTTGGATTGTTTCTAGTTTTAGTCTATTACCAATAAAACTGCAAACATTCTTGTGTAGTATTTTTATGGATGTGTGCTTTTATTTTTACCTGGGTGAAAACCTATGAGTGGTTTAGCTGGATCATATGGTAGGTGGATGTTTAACTTTTAAAGAAATTGCCAAAGTGTTTTTTTAAGCAGTTGTACTATTCTAAATTCCCCCTAACCCGAGTATGAGATTTCCCATCCTCCTATATTCTTACTAACACATGATACTGTCAATCTTTTTAATTTTAGACATTCTAATAGAGGGATATTTCTTCCTCATTGTGGCTTTAATGTGTATTTCCCTAAGACTAATGATATTGATTGTCTTAACATATACTTATTTACCACTCAGATATCTTCTTCGGTAAGTGCTCCCATATTTTCCCACTTTAAAAAACTGGGTAGTTTGTTTCTTTATTGAGAATTCTTTGCATATTCTGAATACAAGTCCTTTTCAATCTCTTTACAGTATACATTTTTTAAATTATTATTTCTCTTGTTCTCTATTCATGGAAGAAAAAGCAGTGGGCTCATAAGTAGTTTGAAATTAATATTTATGAGGTTGTGGTATATGTTTTAAAATTATAAAGAGCTCAACCACAACATTGATGCTGGAAAAGGTAAAGCCAGAGGCTTGGGAACTAGTTACAGTGTAGAACAAGGAAGAGAACACAGATCTAATGTCTTTAAATCAAACTCTGTTCATTAAAACAAAGATGTCAATGTAAAAAGAATTTTAACCTTTTGTTACTTTAAAAAACATTTACTCTTTTTAAAGATTTTTATTAAAAATATAGTTAACATACAATATTATATTAGTTTCAGGGGTAAACCATAGTTATTCAACATTTATATGCCTAAAGAAGTGAATACCATGATAAGTCCAGCAACCACCTGACACAGTAGCACGCTATCACAATATTATTGACTATATTCCCTATGCTATATATTACATCCCCATGACTTATTTGTTTTATACCTGGAAATATGGACCTCTTATATCCCTTCACCTTTCCCCACTTTAAAATTTTTTAATTACAATTGACATTCAATATTAGTTTATATTAATTTCAGGTGGACAGCATAGTAGTTAGACATTTAAATAATTTAAGCAGTGATGCCCCTGACTAGTCTAGTACCCACCTGGCCCTATACATAGTTATTACCATATTATTGACTATATTCCCTATGCTTTACTTTACATCCCCATGACTATTTTGTAACTACCAATTTACACTTCTTAATCCCTTCACCTGTTCCACCCTGCCCTCAACCTCCTCCTGTCTATCACCCCAACAAATCTAGTACCCCTCTGACACCATACATAGTTATTACAAAATTATTGGTTATATTATTTGTGCTATACCCTACATCCTCATAACTACTTCTTAACAACAAGTCTGTACTTCTTAACCCCTTCCCCTTTTTTCACCCACACCCCCAACCCCCTCCCATCTAGCAACCATTAAAATATTTACGAGTTTGTTTGTGTTCTTTTTGTCCCTCCCTCCATGGCCAAGATACCTCTCCTGATTCTCAGCTGCCACAGAGAGGTTTGGGGCCAGCCCGTTTCATGTCTCTGCCCCTCCTACCAGTATCGATGTGGCTTTTTAAAAATATTTTTAGTTATGGGACTTCTGTTGGGCTAGACTTCAGATAGTTCTCCAGCTTGATGGTTCCTATAATTTAGTTGTAATTTTAATGTGTTCACAGAAGGAAGCAAGCACAGTGTTTATCTACTCTGCTATCTTGTCTCTCTCCCCAGTATACATTGTCTTCTGAAGAATTTTTTTAAGAGGGAATGTTTTTTTATTTTGATCAATTTATTAATTTTTTATGGACTATGCTATTGGTATTGTATCTGAGAAACTGTTTTCTAACAAGGTTTTTATCCCTGTTTTATTCTAGAAGTTTTATAGTTTTATTTTACACTTTGGTCTATGATCCATTTTGATATAATTTTTGTATATGGTATAAGATATAGATTGAAGTTCATTTTTTTTTGCATATGGATATCCATATGGATATTTCAGCACCACTAAATTGCTTTTTAATCTTTGTTGAAAATCATTTGTTCCCATATGTATGGGTTTATTATGGACTCTGTTCTGTGCTATTGCACTATTTGTCTATTGTTATGCCAATATCACACTCTCTTGTAGCTTTATAAGTCTTGAAACCAGGTAGTATTAGCTCTCCATCTTTGTTCTCTTTCAAAGTTGTTTTGGCTATACTAGGTACTTGGCATTTCCATATGAATTTTATTTTTATACCAATCTGTTTATTTATTCATATATTCATTCCCTCATTCATTTTTTACTTTCAATAATTTAT